ATGAAGCTGTTTTCCTGGAAAATTAAAATATATAGTTGTGCCTGCTTTTAGACAGACTTGGGAGGAGAGCATTGCAAAATGAATGCCTTTTCTAAGGCTTTTGTTCAAATGCAAAATGGAAGTGCTATGTTTGTATATAAAGCAGGAATGTTCTTTCCAAGGCAATTTCATTTGATGTGCAGAATTTTATTACTGTACTTATTAATTGTTCGGAATAATTGTAAAAAAAAACCACATCAGTAATTTTATTATTAGATTGTTACTGCTGGAGTCTAATATTACCATTTTACTTCCATTAGGGAAAACTAGAGTTTTACTAACAATAACTAAATTCCTGATATTTCTCCTTAGTGGTTTTTGTTGCAAATTTAGTGGTTTGTAAAAAGATATATTTACTATTTAAATATTTAGCTTTTCATCGTTTGTGCCGCTTTCTCTTTAGGACATGTTTGCACATGTTTAAGGAGAAATGAAACACATTTTAGAAAACAAATATTGTTTTTCTCCATGGTTATGGGTGAAGGTCTGGTTTTAGAGTATGCTCTACTTATTTACAAACTGGTTGGGGCAACTTGGTACCCAACCCTACGACTACTGAATTGTGCCTGTTTGCTGAAGGAAATTCCAACAGTCCTAAAATATCTGCTTCTTCCCAAGCTGCCCTGCCTGAGTGACCACGTCAGGTTCCACAGTAGCAAGCACCAGTCTGAATCTCCAAGAGGCCACGGGAAATGGAACAGACAACAGAAGATGGACTTTCTTTCTTAAGTGGCTTGGAGTTCATATTTAAACAATCTAAATGTCATAGTGTCTAGTATTTAAGAATCAAAGTGCAAAGAGGTAAAGCTTATAATAAATATTTAAGCCCCAGCATTTTTATCGAATCTACTGGTATATTTTGATGTAAATTTTGCTCGCCTGCAGCGTCTGGGCATCATCTTGACATGGTAAATGAAATTCCTTTAGACCGCCAGTCTAAAATAATGAATTGTTTCCCTAGTTAATTGTATTGCTTTGATAACAAAGAACTATGCTAGGCCTAGAGAACACAGTAAGTGGATTTCATCAGATGATTTGTGTGACGTTTTGAAAAATGGTCTTCTGGAGTGACCTGATTTTAATGGAACTCAGCATGCACCACCGCACAGGATCTGACTGGGACCAAGCACTTTGTCCTAGGGCATAAGACACACAGGTCATTTCTGGAAAACTTCCCATCCAGGAAAGCTCCTAGTAAAGTCTAGACCAGGAGAAAGTGTGCTGTAAGGGCCAACACAATGGACCTGTTTCTAGGTTGCTCTTATTTTATTAATAAATATCTTTTTTTTAATCCAGAAAAGATCTCATTACCCTTCTCCTGTCATTGCCTATATGTGAATAAACCAAGACCAACAAAATGGGAACAAGCAAATGTAATCATTTAGTGCTTTGGGTAGCAAACAAGCCGACTGCTGTGGTTCGTGTTGTGGCAAGATGTAAAGGCAGGCAGAGGAGAGGAAAAACTTTCAGAAGCAAGCAGGGGCACTTCAGGGGTGCCAATTAGAGGATGTTGGCTTAGGAGCTGGATAGGCAGGCTAAGGAGAAGTGGCACATTCTGCAATTGGTTAGAGCTACATATGTGCTTTTCTCTAATTGCCCTAAATTGGAAGTGGGGACACCAATTAGGGAAGCTGTCAGTTATCCTAACCATCAGAGGACAGTGGTTCCAGGGATTATTGTTAACTTCATGAATTATTAGTAGATAGCAGGTTGAAGTCCTATTAGTCTGACTTAATGCAGCCTGGCTTCCTATGCTGCTTATTGTAGATAAGGAGTTAGTTTTCTGAGTGTGTTATTGCAGGTTATGAATCCGACTTCTGTTTTCATATGAGGATTGGCCATCATGTGTAACTTCATTCTCTCACCAGCATGTCAGTGGTATGATTAGGGGATGAGGAAGTAATATAGTCTTCTTTAAAGTATGCTACTTTGACTTTGCTTTCTATCCATTAAGAAAATTAGTCCCCTTACATTAACAAGGTGTGCTGAAGCAAAATGATGGAGATCACTTCCCCTCTGTACCCTATCTCTTTAAGGAGTCCTCCCCACACAGTGCAACTCAGAAGGACAGCAAACTTGTTCCCTTGTTTGGTCTTGTATCCAGGTCCTCTCTCGAGATGAAAGAAAACCTCGCAACTTCTGGGTTGTTCTAGTTCGTTCTTTATTTGGGGAAATTCACCATATACCAAACATAAATAAATACAAAAATAATAAAAACGTGTATTTAACTTGACATTCAAGGCACATGCGCACACATGTATGAAGTTACTATGTCCAAGGTAGATACATACATGAATGCAGTTATCATGCTTCTGTATTGTTCATGATTAAATTACAAGATGTATAAAGCTCAATAATCCATACTGGGCTACAAAGTGTGTGATCTAGTAAAGGACTCAAGCTTAACTCTGAATGGACTTGTCATTGCCCCATCTGTAAGTCTCAGGGCAAGTGACCTTGAGTGTTCTCTGTGAGCAAACAAGGTAGACACTAAAATACCACTGCCTGGAGAAACGCAAGATTTCCCACCCAGTTACTGCCTTTTGAGGAGAAAACATGTTACGTTTTCATAGGAAAGGATAAAAATCTGTCAAATTAAAAATAAGCATGATTTGTTATTTTATTTGTGAATTAAATTGAATTTAATTCATTATAAATGAATTAAATTTTAACAACTGGCATATGGTTCGATTTTTTATTTTTTATCTGAATATGTTTCCAAACCTTAAAATCAGTAGTAAACATATGACCTGTTGGGGAAAACACTAGTTTAATTAGACATCGGTCTTCCTATATCTTAAAATACAAAGATATTGTGACAGTTTTAACTTAGTATAGAATTTCCTGTTTTGGCAACCCAATGTGTTTGCTTCTCTTCTGGCTCTATGTCTTCAGTAAGGAAAACGTTATGCAGCCACATGTGAAAGGAAAGTATTATTTTTCAGAGCTTCTTTGAACTAGGTCATGCAGTAGTTTAATGAACAACATGATTTCATATTTGGATGGTGTGATCATTGAAATTAGTCTAAGTGGTCTCTGTCCACATTAAAGGAGACATATATTATCTGTCATATTTGGCTATCTCTGGATAAAATGGTGCCAGGAATGAAATAGCAGGAAGTTGTAGATTATGACAGAAATGTTCCAAGAGATTTGTGAAAATTTAAGATCAGACTGAACTGAATTTTCAGTTAGCATATCCACTGTATGTGATTTTTTTAAATGAATGCTTTTCTCCTCCATCTAGAAAAAAAAATAAGAAAATAATTGTTTGCTACAGCAAGATAAGAGACGAAAACTTCTGTACTGGACAGTTTAGATGTTGACATGAGCTTGTCAAAGATCAAGAATATAATTTTTATTTAAACTTTACACATGTAATGTTTCTAAGAAATTCAGGACAATATTTAATACCCTGAAAGAGAAAGACACTTGACAGCAAACCTCAAAAGGTAAATGTGTATTATTAGCCTAGGTAGTGATTACTGCAATTGTGTAATCCCTTCCCTCTCTAACACCTTAAATCCCTCCTTCTCCACAAACACCTTTTCTTGTTTTAAATCATTCTCTCATGCAATCATAGACATCCAGGTACTATATATTTAATCTAGCTCTACTGCTTCCCTTATCATTTTCATCACCAAATATCTGAAGTGTAGGGCTTGTTGGCCACATTTCTTCTCATCTGTTTCCCTGCTTAACCTTCAAGCTTCTATCTTCAGTTAGGTTCAGAAATGGCTCAAAGATTGCCAGGATCTTCTTTGAAGGAATCTAACAATCTGTGTCACTGGCAGGCCTGACCCTGAGGGCCTATGTGGTACTTTTTCAGACTTCTCCAGCCACAACCTCCCCTGACTTCCACATCAGTCTAGATAACCTTCCTCTTAGCTGCCTGTATCAGCATTGGCATTTCTTTCTATTCATAAATCTCTGGAGTTCTGTTCTAGACTGATCGCCTTTGAAGCTTACCTAGAATAAATCGATTCACAAGAATAAAATAATTCAGTGACTTCTTAGGATCCAATGGAGAGGCCTTCCTCCAAGAGCAACACATGGAGAAGACAGCTATGACATATCAGGGATTAGGCCGGCTCATGTCAAAGCCAAGTCTCTAGGACTCTAGAAAGAGAGAATGAATGAAGTTCTTCACTGACCTCTATCGAGATAAGGCCAAGTGGTCTGGGCCTCATAGTACAGTATAATGTTTTGAGACATTTTGTTTTACTGAAGAACTATGAGACCTGAAGGAAACTAAAGTGACTCAGGGAATATAAATAAGGCAGAGTATATGATTGAAAGAAACCAGTCCAAAAGGCTACTTTTTGATTGCAACTATATGACATTCTGGAAAAGACAAAAAAAACTATAGATACTTTAAGAAAAAGACCAGCATTTGCTAGAGGCTTTGGGGAGAGGGATAATTCAACGATTTTGGGGGTATTGAACTATTCTACGTGATGGTGTAACAGTGGCTACATGACATTATCCGCCTGTCAAAATCCTTAGAACTGAACAACACAGTGAACTGTAATGTGAACTGTGCACTGTAGTTGATAATCATTTGTCAGTATTGGCTCAATTTTCCTGTAAACCTAAAACTGTTCTAACTTTTAAAAATAATATCGATGTGTTGAGTTTTATTCCTAAAAAAAAAATAGTAACTTTCTACATTCCTAGTATATCTAGAGCAAAGGGTATTCAGACAGAAATTGGGTGGAATCCTGTCCACAATTAAACGTGATGTTTTGTCAGATATCGGACTTGCTCAAAGTTAGAGTTACATTAGCTCTGTTAAAGCCTGTTCTTGGAGTATGAAGTGCTCTATTTGGTAACACTGGATGAGCAGCTAAACACTCATGACTAATTGTGAAGCAATAGGAAGCAGGACCCTAAGCCATCAGCTCCATCCCTCCCGGAAATGTCTAAATAAGCATTTAAATGCTTCTTGCTTTCTCTTCCAGGCCTCGCAATTGCCAGTGCCCTGACAGACATTTCACAGCAGAAGCCTTCAGATAATAAAGATAAAACGTCGGGAATCCGAAATCGAAAACACCTCTCCACCCGTCAAGGAACTTGTGTCTGAGAAATGGAAATCTCTCCTGTAGCTTCTGTACTGACTTACTTTGTAAATGGCTTCCGTTAAAGCTCTTCTATAACCTCACGTTTTATAGAGGCCAATCTCTATATAATCCAGGGCCCAAGTACAGCTCCCTCTACATAGGCAATGTCCCAAGTGGCCAAACAAAGTTCACGAGTTTTATAAAAATAACACTCTTGATGGTCACAGGTGATAAAGTCAGTTTTGACGACTACTGTACTTTAGGCTTATCAGAGCTAACATTAAATTACCCTGGAAAAAGATGTATATTATTTCTTACAGCTGGAAATATGTAATTCATATAAATCAACTGTTTATATCCCAAGACTTTAAAGAAAGACATTTTATAATGCCTGAATGATGAAAATTGTACAGTTTTTGCCTCATAAGCAAACTTAGGTCACCTGTATATAAACAGGAGATGAACACATCCCAAGGCTTATAATAGTATTTTTTTCTCACTGTAAATGTGAAAGCAAGATTTTGATTTAGTGGAATGAAGGTAATGTATTTAAATGTGTCACATGACCATATCATGTCCAAACTTGAGAATGTAACAATTTTCTACCTAACCAGAATGTAGACCAGAATAAGTCTATTTAGAATGTGTACCACTTCACAACAGGTTTATTAGAATTCTGAGCGTAAAGGACATTCCTTTCGTCTATGCCAACTGCCTAACTCATTATCAGAGCTGATAGAGCATGGAAAAGCCTGTCCAGCAATCAATTTTCCCCTTCTTCCAAAAACAGTCTCCAATACCACAACCTGAAGAGGGCTGAAATAGTTATTTTATAGTATGCAAGCTTCTGCTCCAATATGGTAATTTTTAATTGCCTAGGAATCATTGGATCAGACCTAAATGATCTATCTGCATTTTTATAGCAATGTGTCATTTTCTTTTGGCCTTCCTCTTCTAGCTGCTCAATTTTATTTACCTTTTACAAATGTTATGCAGTGTATTTTAGAGGTTAACAGCTCCCAAATTATTATATGACCCAAGTTTTTTCCTGCCAACTATTTTACATAGAATAGAAGCAGAAAAGAGTATTGTCTTGTATCAGCAAGACCCTGTTTCCAACATGAACATGTTGGTGCCATGAGAGAAAGTCTCCAGTTTAAAAAAAATAAGTTCATTGTTGGCTACATTCAGCACATTCCTAATGATTCAATACTCTGAATTATGGCAGAAAGGAAAATAAAATGAAAATCTTTCACACTGGAACACAGAAACATTTGTGCCGTAATATTGACCACAGTTCATTAAAGCTCAGACTCATTTGATATTGCAATTTTTAACTTTAGGGTGACTAGAGGATGTAGAACAATGACAGAGATATCCAAAGCTGTTGTATACATAGTAGTCTTATTTTACATGACATCTAATTGATCCTTAGTACTATATTTGATGTTCTTTGGATTTCTGGAAGGTAATGACATTTTGCAGTTAATGCCTCGTTACTTGCATGCCATGGCTGTACAGTAGCAGAATATGACCCTATTGTGATATTAAATGTTTATTTCAAATGCCATTTATGCATAGTCAGCTTAATTTAATGAGGATTGAATGTAATATATAATGGGAATGATGATACAATATGTAGTTGCATCTTATAAAAGATTGCTAGGTTGCATCTAACCATGACTATGTCATTATTTTGATAATTAGGTATTTATGAATTATAGTATATATTTCCTATGTTGGCATGATAATTTTGCTATTTTCCATGCATTAAAAATAAGACAATTCTTAAAGTAATTTTAGTATTTTATCCATAGCTCGTGGGTCTTAGGGGGCAAGGGAGGGCTGATTATTTTTCTTCCCTGTGATATTTTTATCTCAAAAAAATCAGTGAGCTAAGTTTGTAAATGTAGTTATCTCCAAAAAACAATCAAGTAATTTTATCCCCTTCTTTTTGGACCCTTTAAATGTTGATTTTTCTCATGGAAAAATAAATCAACAAAACTGGTCAATACAAAGATATAATCATTTTAAAATAGAGCAGTTGCCCAGTTTATTTAATTCTCTAACAGTTTTCACTAGAGAAAGCTTATATAACAAAAATACAGAAACATACAGACTTTTTATGTAAAATCTCAGTTATATCTTTAGAAAGGCTAAGCAAATAGTAGCAGTACTATGAAAGAATTATCATGTTTCATTCACCTTGAATCTCATCAGATTTTTTAAAAAAAATTATTTGTACTTGTTTTCAGTACGTGATGATTACATTCATTATAGGAAATCCGTACATGGACATAGTACATGTAACATATTTTCTCCTTTTTTCCATTCCCTTTTATTTTGCCAGCATCAAACTCTTTTAATTATGTCATTATAAAGTTAAATATAATTTTTACAGCTTAACAACCAGGCTAATAGGTTAAAAAACATATGAGAAACATGACAATTATTTGAATTTTAATAAATTGTGGAACATAATGCAATGTTAAGTTAAAGTTGTATAATACCTCTTTAAGCCATGTATTGCTATCCCCATGGCTAATTATGCATTATATTCTTGATTTATCAAAGCTTTTTACTGATAACAAAATTCTTTGCCTTCATGTGAAGTTGGCAAAAAACCCATCAAGGATCAAGAATAATCATTTTGAATTTGTGTCTTGTGTTCTCCCCATATCACAAACACTTTAAAATTGGATGCTCTTAGTTAAAAAAAAAATCAAACCACAAATATATGCAGATGCTTTTTGAGAAATTAGCAGTTAAATTGGCTGATTGTCTTGAAAACTTACCTAAATGGAATTCTGAACATTTCAACATAGAATAACTCTTTAAAAAATCTTCAGATTTTAGGATTTCTTGTTCTGCTAAGCATATAAAAATCTTGGTTGAATGCAATGTAGTTTTTGAAAATTAACCTGAGGACACTATTTGGACAGCTAGTTAGAAAAGAATCTGTTTATGCTTAGAGATCCGTTTAATAAATTTTAAAATAATTCAGATTCTCACGGAATGAAGATGCCATTTCTATAGTGTTCTGTTTAATAGCAAAACCACAGGTTGAATATATTTAAATAGGTAATCGATCTTACTGTATTACCCAGTGTCTCATTTTCTTATGGTGTCAGTCAGATAGAGGTGACTGTGTCACTTGGCATGCAGGCTGGAGGACAGGCTGGAGGACAGACCCCAGAACCAGCGTCGAGGTGAGTCAGTGGCACTGGGAAGGTTTTGAAGGCCCATCTTCCACACCTGAAGGCTTGTGGTGTAACGTCCACCTTGAGGTAACAGAAATGAACTTGTTAACATGGCCCCAAAACAGCATGGCTGGTGTTAATCTCGGGGTCACCAAGGCACTCTTTAAATGCCAACTGATTTATACCTGCTGTTTAGTTTTCATTCATCTTCGCTCCATTGTTAAAAGTCAGGTAGGTTGATGCAAAAAGACTTCCTGAATATCTTAAGTTCCTATATTTCTGTGATATGAAGAACTGTAAACAAGTTACTTTTGTATTTGGGTCAGTAGAGCTTTGACTGTAAATCTATATAAAGTTTCAGTTGAGCATTTTTAATGACTATTTGATGGCATTTAGACAGAAACATCAGTTGTCAGCTTTTCACATACAAACTAGGCAAGAAGGGGCCAGAGCCTAAAATGTATTGTTATGTAAAACTATCATTTGAAAAGTGTTTTGTTTTGTTTTTTAAGATTGTAGAACTTATCAAATGAACTAATTCTCTTCATCTGCACATTTTACAAAATCCAATTCCCGAACTCATTTGTTACTTAGTAGTGTGAGTTTGGAACTTACCCCTTCCTTCATGAGAATTTGCCCAGGTTAGTGTGATTCCTACCTTTAGAATCAGAAGGATTGGGGTGGCCTTGGAGTGCAAAACAGTGATTCTTACTGAGAGGCAAATTAGGGAAACACTGTCCCAGGCCAAAGAGCAGCCTTACAGGGAGTTCTTTAAATAGTGAAGTTATCACCCTAATTCAAAATGCTTTACATAATCTTCCAAGGAATACAAGCCATCTGGTTGATACTCAGCATTGTTTTCATTATAGTGTGCATTTAATATTTGTTTTATCAAATTTTCTAAATTAAGTAGTAGAACCATAGCTACTATCAGTATATATGTACAGAGGTGTGCATGCCAGTGTTAAAAACAGATTGTGTAAAAGTTCAAATCTGCTTTAAAAAGCCAACATTTCAGGTTATAATGTGCTATTAATTGGGATTTTAATTACTGAAATAAAACATTGCCTCTTCCAAGCCCTACTGCCAAATGCAGTTTTATTTCTTTTAACCCTCTGAAGATTGTACAGGAAAAAGCACTGCAAGAACCTGAAAAAGTCTCTCCACATAATACTGGGCTATAAAATGTGTGTTGCTGGGTTTCCACATGGTTCGCTCCTGTTTTCCACCCAGTTTTCCGTGAGCTTTCTTCCACATTTTCTTTTGGTGGTGTGAGGAGCACCTGGGAGACTCCAGGGGCAAAACTCAGGAGAGGCTAAGCAGCTAGGCAATGGCTATGGCCGGGGTCTGTGCCCCTGGCCCTGTGTTTTACGTTTATAGAAACTGTTCTTACCTTAAACTTCAACCTGTGAGCCCAGAGCAGCTATGGCTAGTTGAAGAATTTTCTGAGAAAAGCCTTTACATTTTGGGGTAAACTTTAGATTTAGTGATTGTGTAGCCATCTGAGTCCAAGCCTTATGTAAGTGGCATTTCTCTGCCAGGCCTCTGGGGCATTTCTGGGAAAGAGGACCCATTCCCACAGAAAAATCAAGAGCCTGTGACCCTCCTGGGCTGAGGGCCTCATGCACATGAGATACCAGGATTTTGACCTGAGGGCCCACTGAGGCCTGACTCTGCCTCTGCTCTACCTCAGGGATGGAACTGGGGTTGCTCCTCCAGAGGCAGCCTCCCATCACACTTCCCAGTGGCCAGGCCAGGTAAAGAAGTTGAGAACCAGCAGCCCCACTTAACTGAGCAATGTGCCCAGTCTGGCTAGCACCTCACAACAGCATTAGTAAAGAGGATCTTTGGGAGGAACCCGAGCAGAAGTGAGCCAGAGCCGAGTGCGTCATGGGGCGTCTTTCTTTTGCAACAATAGGCAGCAGCTGTTCTGTGATCCTCCAAGCCATGTACACTCCGCTCCACAGCTTTCTGTCGGTGGATCAGTGCCTGAGCAGGGATTTGGAGGTTTTAGCTCAAATTGACTTTTCTCTGGCGGAAAGGGTTGTTTTCCTAGAAATGTGAGTGGCTGCTGTGAATGATAGGCATTCTTTCAGCTCCAGCTCATAACCCTGAGATAAACATACAATTCCCTCTTTCAGTTCTCACACACTTCCTCACTCACTTGGAATCAGGGCACCTGGTATAACCACAGCAGCAAAGGTATTGTGGAGCTTTAATTCTGTAACTCTGCTACGACACCAGATAGTACTATTTGGCTTTCCAAATGGGAAGCTACATTATAACTTTGAATAAACTTCTGTAAATTACCACCCTTCCCTTCTAATCTGCCTGTTTCCTAGCACTTACATTCTTCATTGAGGAAATAATTCTCATTCAAGGAACCAAACCCCCCAAATAGCGTTGCAGAAACATTATATTCAACACACCAGATAAAGGTTTAGCCAGTGTTATTTTTGGCAGAAGTAATATTTTCACGCCGGCAAGGTAGTTGTTTAAACATAGCTTCTCTAAACCAGCTATGTGCCTCGTCAGATAAAGAATCTTGCTCTAGAAAAATCCTCCCAGGAAAATAGTATTAGCCTCCAAATTCTTGTAACAGTTCTTTGGGCTTCTATAGACCTGTGTTCCTGAAGCTGTTTTAAATTTTGTGTTTTAGGGTGATG